ATGACTATTTATTCTTATGTGAAATGTCTCATTTTATGCAGCTGTATAAGGTTGGAAATGTTAAAGGATTTGTGGAGCACATTAAAACCGAAACTGCTGTAAATTTCGAGTTGATTCTATTACCAATAATAAATAATTAGCATTGGACATTGTTAGTTAGGGCAAACAAGGAGCACATATGGAGATTTTACGACTCCTTACTAAACAGAATGCATATGAATATCTCTGATGTCATTGTAAGTAGACAATGTTAATTACTTTATACCTAAACAAACACTAGCTCATTTATTTCTACATTTAACTGTGCAGATTAAACATTTTTGGAATGATGTTGGCGAAACATTCCAAACTGATATTAGTAAATGACCGGTACATATGGACAAAGACATACCAATATAGAGCAACAGTTTTGACTGTGGAATATTTGTATATAAATATATGAAAATAATAATGCAAAAGAATAAAGCTGATTGGAAAGAATATTTGGAATGACAGAAGTCTATGTCATTATTTAGAGCAAAAATAGGATACGAGATATGCAAATTCGCTTTGTCAAGAACATGATTATATGTTTATGTTTATTGTCATTTAATCCTTTAGTCAACAAAAAAATCATCATTTTTAGCTAAAGTTCTTAAGGAATCACATTGTTTTTCTTTGTTTATAATGCAGATCCAGGTTACAAAAAAAAATCACCATTTTGAAGATGTTGATTTGAGATGCTATTGCTGATTTGATCTTTGTGTTTAGGGATGCTGATTGTAGGTTTTAACATGAATCTAAAGTGTTCCAATTGAGATACTGCCCCTCATAGAAGCATAGTGATATCAAACTCTTCTGAGGCTTATGTCTTATGAGATTTTTAGATAAATATTTAGCTTCTTGGATAAGGAAAATCTTTGGAGGTTTATAGCCCGGTTAAATTTTTCAATTGTACCTATACCTTTTGAGACTTATAAGTTCGTAAGTTTTTTTAATTTATATGTACATTCTATCATCCTTAGCCCTCTTAGATTTTTTTAGTGTACATGTACCTTCTGAGGCTGATAGCCTTTTAAAATTATTTATTGTATGTATTACCTTCTAAGGGTTATTGCCCTTTGAGATTTTTTGAATGTATCTGTACCTTTTAAGATTTATAGCCCTCTGAGGTTATTTGAGTTTACACCTAGCTTCTGAGGCTTATAGCCTTTTAAAGTTTTTTGAGTGGATAGCTTGTCAATCACTTGCTCACATCAAATCTTTCCAGGGAGAACTCTGTCCACTACTAGCTTCTCATCAAAACTACCCCATGAGTGTGTCCTCCGAAGATATAAGTGGAGATTGTGTCTATCACTAGCCTTAAAAATGCCTTTCTAGTGCGGAATGTGTCCACTACTAGTTTTCCATTAATATTATCTTATGATCATGTCTTTCAAGAGTTTAAAACGGAATTAACCAGACAAATCGCTCGACCAACTAAGAACGGTCATGCACCACCACCCATAGAATCAAGAAAGAGCTCTCAGTCTGTCAATCCTTACTATGTTTGGACCTGGTAAGATTTCCTGTGTTGAGTCAAATTAAGCAGTAAGCTTCACTCCTGATGGTGCCCTTCCGTCAATTCCTTTAAGTTTCAGCCTTGAGACCATACTCCCCCCGGAACCCAAAAACTTTGATTTCTCACAAGGTGTCGGCGAAGTCCTAAAAGCAACATCCGTCGATCCCTGGTCGACATCGTTTATGGTTGAGACTAGGACGGTATTTGAACGTTTTCGAGCCCTCAACTTTTGTTTTTGATTAATGAAAACATCATTGGCAAATGCTTTCACATTATTCGTCTTTCATAAATTCAAGAATTTCACCTCTGACTATGAAATTGAATGCTTTCGATTGCCCCTCTTAACCCTTAGTCTGATTCCGATGACCAACACAATAGAACCGAAATTTTGTGGTGTTATCCCATGCTAATTTATCTAGAGTGTTGGCTTGTTTTGAGCTCTCTAGTTTCTTCTAAGTAACGGTGCCAGAGGCACGACCCGACCTATTAAGGCTAGGAACGTATTACCGACATAAAAGAAGAGACGGGTGATGCACTCCGTGAGGCGAACCGACTGACCCAACGCACCAGACTTGCCCTCCAATGGATCCTCGTTAAGGGGTTTAGATTGTACTCATTCCAATTACCAGACTCGAAGAGTCCGGCATTGTTATTTATTGTCACTACCTCCCCGTGTCAGGATTGGGTAATTTGCGCGCTTGCTGCCTTCCTTGGATGTGGTAACCGTCTCTCAGGCTCCCTCTCCGGAATCGAACCCTAATTTGTTCTATAAAACATCATAAGCAACTTACCTATAGCGTCGAGCAGCTTTGCAACTGGTGCTAGGCCGATCAAGGAAAACACTCTTAGGTTGCCGTCAAGAAGAGGAGAAACGGGAGCTCTCGGCGTCGATGTTGAGCATAGCAGGACGAGCCGCACTATGGCACGAAAGGGGAAGTCGTTGAGCATCTTTAGCGCTGAGGAGGAAGAGGCGACTAGTTGATCTTGCATTCATGCGGAATGAAGCTAAATAGTCGGGAGGCTAAAAAAGTAAAATTCGCTCTATAAAACGTCATAGGCGACTTACCTATAGCGTCCAGCAGCTTTGCAACTGGTGCTAGGCCGATCAAGGAAAACACTCTTAGGTTGCCGTCGAGAAGAGGAGAAACAGGAGCTCTCGGCGTCGATGTTGAGCATAGCAGGACGAGCCGCACTATGGCACGAAAGGGGAAGTCGTTGAGCATCTTTAGCGCTGAGGAGGAAGAGGCAACTAGTTGATCTTGCATTCATGCGGGAGGGAGTTGAAGCTGGTGCGATTTGGAGTTCGATTGATGGAGGAGCTCTCATACAGAGAAGAAGACAACGTGCGATCGCATGCATAGAGAGGAATAGGTGGAATTGCGTGAGTGGAAGAAGAACATGTGGAATTAGCGATAGAAGAGAGAAAGCATGGAAAAAAAGTAACGAGCTAAACTTAATTTTACCTTTTTAAATTAAATTGATTAGTAGTTTTTTTATTTGTTAAGAGTTAGTTATAAAAATACATATGAAAAAATTTAATTATTTTTCTCCGACTGTCTGTTTAAGTAGGTTAAATCCAAGCCCTGGGTCGGATCGTGACAATCATAATAGAGCAAAATTTGAAAAGATAAAATAAAAAATAAAACATTTTGCATTTATGAGGCGAGGCATAAACCTAGAGGCAAAACAAAGCATAATCCTTTAAACAAAAATGAAGATAAAAATAATCATAAATTAATAATAACTCATAAATATAATATAAATTATCAATATATTTTAGTTTATACCATAAAAATATAGACCACAATCATACAATATAAAAATGAAGAAAAAGTCATGACTTTTAATGTAAACTAAAAGTTTGAAATAACATTCAACAAAAGCAGCCGCTTAGCATTTAAATATACCACGAGAATCAAGATACATAGTTGTCTCATCCTTTCACCATCTTCAAAAGAGTTATTATATGTAACAGATCGACCATTCACTAATTTGATTTCATTCATCTTCAAGATCTTCAATTATTATTTCTTCTTACTTGTATTTTAAGTAGCAAAAAGCAAAAATAAAAAGTCCTAAACACAAGGCTCCCAATCAAAATGCAGTTGATCTTTCCTCCAAGCTCTCGCACTTGCATATTCTAGAAATAGTTAATATCATGCAAGTCTCGTGGCATTCTTTTTGTGCATCTTAGATGGAGTGAAATCTTAAAGTGTGTGTTTCAATCACTTTTTTAAAACATGCAACATAGCATCACTAACTTTCTAAAAATACTAGCTAAAAAGTAGTTAATAGCATGCCCATTACAGCTACATATCATATGGCCAGTCCTTATTCTACTTATTTAAACTCTCTATCCTTTAAATATTTTCTCCCTTGATCTAATTGTTTATTTATTTCAGTATATTTATTGCCAAAAAGATTATGGTATTTGCAAAATTCACAGCACCAATATACCTTATTTTAAATATAGTATAAAAGCATCTTCATAACTAAAACAAATAGTTATGAGCATGATGTTGATTCTTGTCTTAATCCAATTATAAGTATCAAAAGTTCAATCATTCCACAACTACTTTTATACTAATCAGTACTACATCATACACATCTTTAATAACCTTCGCATAACTTGGACACACATCTTTTTCCTCAATACATACAAAATTAATTTGTGTGAAACATAAATCATATTCTTTTTTGAGATTAATTAAAATCATATAAATGTCATTTCTTTGATCTCTAATTTTTTTTTCATTTTAACTTTATTAACATACAAAATGCTTCTATGGTGGATCTTCCTATCATGAAACCAAATTGATTCAGCTAAACCAACATAATTTTTCTAAACCGATGTTCTGTTACTCTTTCACAAAACTTCATTTAAGGACTTTTAAATTTGAGTCCACTACAATTACCACAACCTTGAAAGCATTATTCCTATGTATTTTTTTAACAATTTGTGTCTTCTCAGATGAGTCCGTACCCTCTAAGTCTTCAAATTTCATTAACCGAATTATTACAAATTTCCTCACAACTCTCCATATCTCAATGAATATCTCATCGGGAACTGTAAATTTTCGTCCATGCATCTTCTTTAGAAATAATTTCATTTTATTTATTTATTCATTTTTATAAACCATACACTTCTAAAATAATTTATTCCTTAGAGTCATTTAATAATTACTCAATGTACCATTACCATCACCCTTTAATATCTTCATATTTAACAAGGATGGTATCATATTCAGTTCTAGCACATCTAACTTAATTCAAATTTCCAGATCTATTATCTTTTACCTTATATATATTATATATCTTATTTTCTCCATCATTAAAGCCAACCTTCCTATATAAATCATAGAAAGATTGTAGCTTTGATGAAAGAGGCACAAGAAATAAACCAGGAAAAAATTGAAAATAAAGTGAAGCAACTGAAAAAGTAGAACTTCTCATAATTTACCTTCAGATATCCACATTTTCTAGAAAGCTGCTAAAACCACAATAAGATAGATTAGTTGCCTTTTTGTTAGACTTCATAGATAAATGGATCTTCCTCAATTTGGGGGTTCTCAAGAGCAGTGATATGTTTTCTAAACGAGCTTGCGGCTTCCTCCCTTGCTTCAAATTGTCCAAGATGGTTGTAGATCATAGCAATCAAATAAAATGCCTCTGCAACCATTTCATGATACTCCAGAATCTCAAGCTCCTCAGCAGCTTGTTTTAAGGGATCCAGCACAACATCAGAATCTGTGTAAAGTAAGAAAGTTGGATCTGATAAGTAGCACTTGGCTAGAATTATATTTGCCTTTGCACGAAGCTGTAACCCTCCATGGCCAAGAATCATAGGAAGCACTCTATGCAAAAGGCTCAAACCTCTCTTCGCATGGTTCGATCCCAAAGACAACCATAACTCCACAAGGGTCAATGTAGAAGATGCTTCGAGTAGATCCATATTAAAGGCTTGACAAAATGATAAACTCGCTAATACATATTGAAGAGCGAGAACTGAGTTGCCCGATTTCTTGTGTATCTCAGCTAGTAATAGAAGAATATTGGCATTCTCAACTTGCATGTTAAATTTATAGCACATGCAGAATAGCGAATGTGCCACAGCTGCTGCCTTACTATACTGGTTAGCTGCAAGCAAAGTACGAGAAAGCCGCAAGTTCGCCTCGGTTTTAAGATCCATGTCCACTCCACTTGTGGAGGAGGCCAGCACCCCAATTTCATCACACATCCGTTGTGCAATTTTCAACTGCCCTCTATGTAAAGCACGCTCATGGAGTAACTGAAGCTTGAGAAGCTGAATGCGTGATTTTGTCACCCGTGAGAACTTCTTTTCAGCAAGCTTCAGAGCTTTGAAAGCTTCCTTATATCCTTTGAAATTCGCCAAATGTTGGATCAGCTTTACATGAGCTAAAGATAAATCTGTTGAGCTTGCACCATTAGCAAAGCACGTTGCATAAACCAATGCATTTAGTCGGACAAGTGGAGCGCTTCCATATAGCTCCCATGAAGCAGCTCTAAGCAAATATGATGAACCAGCCAATTGCAGAACAGACCCTGGAATTGGATTTGGTTGTGCATCAAAGTGAAATAAATCAAAATCATTGACCGATGAACTCCTCAATTTTCTTATATTCCTAAATGAGGGACTGCTAGCAGCTGAAAGATTTTGGATCCACGAGGTGCTGAAAGCTCCATCATCATTTGGCTGAAGTAGCCCATCAGATCCATATTCGCTCATAACATGGGAACACAATCTTAATTCTTTGCAAACAGTAACAGGGCATGTTCTAAGCGTTGTGGAACTCTTAGGACCAAAACATAGCAATGATCTTCTAACATTCTTGAGCTCAAACTTTGATAAAGAAAGGCGATTAAAGGCCATAAGACTCACTAGTTTTAGACTATCAGCTCTTTTCATAGACCTGCTTAGAAGGACAAGTAATTGTTGCTGCGTGGTCAGAGGTGCACCCAAACTCACGAATCCTGAGAACCCAAAAGTCCTGCTGTATTTGAAATGCCTACATCTGACAACAGATTACAAATGGCTGCTAATGTATAAGCTAGACAGGCATCATCATTGCTTAACTGAGAAAATCTCACAGCTTCAGTTAAAGCCTCCAAGGCCTTCGTTGGATGTCCAAAATAACAGTGCATGGTGCCCAAGCACAATAGTGCAGTCTGATACCGTCCAACATAAATTTCAGGCGGTGAAGCAGATGAACGATTAAAAATACCTTCATTCCCAGCACTGTAATCAAAGTAACTGTGCAGATTTTCCAAAGCAGTTAAATAATCGTTATGGAAAAGACTGTTCAAATATTGTAAATACTCAACTCGATGCAGATCTGGGGATAGCTTATGTAGTTGTTTTAGAATAGCCCCGAATGAGTTCATAGGAAAAGAGCCTGCATCCTTCTCGAGTAAATCAGCTTGCATGTTAAGATATCCTTCCACTTGCCACCTTGTGCGCATGAAACCTTGCGGAACATCACTTTCCAAGCTGTTGGTCAAGGAAGAAAGAATTTCACAGCTCTCAGCATCACCGTCCAGGCCTTTGTGCCAAGAATCAGCCGGAAGTTGGGTATCATTTCTGGGGTGAGAAATCAATCTAGGTGAGCGAATATGTGATTTTGAGCCTTCTCCGGTGGAAATGTCTCGAAAACTATGCCTGCACTTTTGAAAAACGTCAATTTCATTGTATAGTTCAGCACCATCCAGTGACTCGTCAAACTCTGATTCATCAAGATCTTTCTGTAGCTCATAATTAGGATCACCTGAGCTGCAATATGTGGATACATTGGTCAAAAGATGACAGACACCCTCGAATGTCAACAAATTGAAAGAAAGTATGCAACAACGCAAGAACATTCCCAAATGGCTGTTAGGATCCAAAAATACTTGGTCATCTTCCAGATGAACGCCCTCGGGAGCAGCAATAACAGCTCTCAGTTTCTCGAAAAAATTAAACAAATCATCCGGCGAAGATAGCTCCAACAGACTGTTCATCAAATGCTCACATAACCAAAATTTAGCTGAATCCCCAATCGACTTCAACTGATTTATCAAATCCACCAAAGTAGGCTCCACAAAATCATTGCATGCCCTGGTGAGAGAGAAAATGAAGAGGCCGAGGCGATTGTGCTGGCAAATGGACTCGAAAGGGAAGGGGACGGTCTGCTGCGAAGGCGGAGCAAAGAGCTGGATCAAGTGGCAGACGGCAACCTTGTGTGGTGTGACATCAAAGACGGCAAAACCTCCTTCCTTCATGCCCCCAGAGACAGCAATCCTGCTCATTTCTCGCTGCGTTCCTTAATCAATGCAGCTCTGTTGGTCTTCTAGGCTTTGTTACTCATTTTTGGATTGTGAAGTCGGCGAAAGTTTTAGTGACGACGGAGCTCAATCGGATAAAGTGTAATCGTCAAGATAAGACCAGGCCTTAAGCAACGAACCCTAACGTATTTAGGGTTAAGGAACATTCAAATGCATGTCATTTAGCAGTTAAATTTTAATATTTAGATACTTAATACCTAAATATTTAATATCATATTAAAATATCATTCATATTCATTTTTTTAAAGTAAATAAGTATTTTCGTTTATATCTTTTGATGTGATAGTGATATTAATAAATGAATAAGTTACATCAAAATTTTAAATCATTGGTAATTAGTATGATATATCATTTAAATAAAAATATCATTAATTAGAATTTATATGATAATATATTTAATAATAATAATATAGTATTATATATATTATGTGTCGTAAGATTCATGACGGTAGAGTAATTAATTAACATATTAACGTTGTACGATAATTAAAAACATAGAGAGATAAGAAATAAATAGCAGCGACATGCACCATATTTTTTATGTGAAAAACTCTAAAGAAGGAAAAACCTACGCGGTCTAGTCGAATCAAATTAATTCACTATGCAATTATGAATACATAGGTCAACTCTTTTCCTGAAATAAAGAAGATGAAATTACAAAAGTACAAGTCATCTGACTTTAAAAGCCGCAATTGAGCTACAATAGATGCAGTTCTTCGTAATTGTGATAGTCTCACTTTGTCGTAGAGGCCGTAGTTGAAAGTCATATTTTTTTCTTCTTCTTTCTCCCAAGAACTTTAACAAGAAATATCTTTTTTTTTTTTCTTTTCACTTCATCACTAATCTTAATTTACAATGTTCTTTTTACTAAAGAGTGTCATCCATGGGCTCATGCATGAAAAACACGTACTTTGGAGAATGGAGAAATTGCAATGTATAAATTTTGCTTGCTTTAACTCATATTGGTTTTAGAATATTTGAATGAATTATAAGTGATACATCTCCAACAAATCTCCATCATCTAGCACGAATCTCGAGACAAGATACAGATCTCAAGGGAACTTTTTGAGTAAGAAATATTAAAAACTTTATAAAAAAAGTCATCTCCAACAAATCTCCATCATCTAGCACGAATCTTGAGACAAGATACAGATCTCAAGGGAACTTTCTGAGTAAGCAATATTAAAAACTTTATAAAAAAAAAGCCATCTAGAACTCTGATTTAAGCAAATATATAGTCAAACTGACATGCAAGATAAAAAGTCATGCAGGCGCTCTAAATTGAGGCGCGAGTAAGGCGTTCCAAACCCTAATTTTCCCATAGCAAACATAGTAGTGCTCTGTGAGTTTTCTTGACCTCGATGAGGCTTCGAACGGACACAGAGAGATCTCTAACCATCAGAATGGACATCCAGCATTTTAAACGCTCTGAGTGAGTCCATCCAATTACGGGTTCTCTCGGGTGGGGTCGAAGCATCACAAACCTTGGTTCCCTGTCCTGAACACGTACAAGAGGTCTCAAATGTGAGCCTTGAGCTATGGGGTGTTATGAGCAAGCAGCGAATTGTCCCGAGCCAATCAAGTGGACACCTTATGTACATGATATCAAAACATAAGTCTCACCAATATGTATTATCCCAAAAAAGCTTTTCAATAGCGCTTCTTTTATCAACAAAATAGATAGTAATTATCACTTATTCTTTGATTGATATATCTCGAGACCTGTCCAATAGAATTATGCATAACTCATTGTCTAATTCATTAATAATAATAGTTGTAATCTTAATAGTAATTACATGTGTGATTTTTTCTAATGTTAGAGGAAATGAGTTTATTTTTTTTTTCAAGAGTGCTTTTAGAATATTTTTTTTATATAACCATTTCAATTTTTTAGAAATTACAATAACTCAATTTTTTAAAATTTTCAAAATTCTCAAATTCATCACGGTCATAAAAAGCCAAGATCTGTTATAAAAGAAATATGCGTAATCAATACTTATTGTCAAGTGTGTTTGATAATGGTGACACATTTGATCAAAAAAATTTACAATAATAAAATTGATATGTTGATCTTGATTCATTAAATCATTGCACTTCTTTCGAGAAATATTATTAAATTATTGCACATGAGATGGCGGTATGGTGGTTGGACATTTCCTCTCGCACTAAAAGTTTCATGCATTTTCTCTCCTTATTCTCCTATTTCAGGCCTATAAAGATAATAAAATAAGCAATAAATTGCATCCTTTGTAATGCTATATATTCTAACAAGCTTTTGAATTTATCAAATCAAGCTTAATTAATTATGCAATTTGTCAAACCAAGTTGCAATCTAATCATGCATGCGCTTAATATAATGATAGGTAAGAAAACATTATAAATTTAATTGATAAATAAAGATTTGAAATTAAATAATAAATCTATTCAAAATTCTAGCAAGTACTTGTAATTTCAACTTTCAATGAATAAATATTGATGAATTTAAAATAATCAAATTTAAATAAATCAGCATATCTTGACTCATGGAAATGACATAGAAGTAAGGGTCTGTTTGGGGCAACTTATCCAGCTTCTACTGATAAGCAGCTGATTCTGATAATCTGCTGATGAGCAGCTAATCCGGATAAGTTGTCTGACTATTTGGTTTGTGCGTATGAAAAACAACTTATTCTGGAAAAATGACAATTTTGCCGCTGTTTTGAAAAAAAAACCCAAACACAAATCTCCCCAAGTAATTCCTACACGGCATTCACCAACAATAGCGAGATATCAAAACAACAAACAACCTACAATAATCAAACCAAAAGAAAGACCAAAGCAAATCACCAACCCTAAATCAGGCATCGATTCTTCCAACAGTAAATAAAATTTGCAGTAACTTCAAATTCGAACCAGGAACACATAGAAGAAGATAACATAGCCTAGATTTACCTGTTGCAACGAAGGGTAATAACTGTGCGCAAGATTCCTTGGAGCTTCGAACTTCAACCTGCGCTTCTGCCTCTCGTAACATCAATGGAGGGAGCGGCTCTGCGATACTGCGGCACTGCGGCACTGCGGCACTGCGGAAGATGGAGTGCAGAAGATGGAGGGAGCGGCTCTACGAACGAAGATGAAGAATCGTGAATGAAGATGGAGGGAGCGACACTAGGAGCGCCTCGACCATCGAAGGAGCGCCGAAGGACCGCCGAAGGAGTCCTGAATCGAGAACGAGGGAAGGGGCAGCAGAGTAATTGGGGGCTAAACGCGACCGAAGAATGAGGATCGCGGGTCTAGCCCTGCGATCCGCGTGTAATGTAAAAAAGAAACGGAGTTTTGATAAACGCAGCTCCAACACGTGAAACAAACGGTGAGGCGTGAGGCGTCGTTTTTCAAAACGTCGCCGCACTTATAAGCTGCCCCAAACGGGTCCTAAGTTAACTAAAAAAAGCTGATGAGCAAAGTAGTTATGAGAAGTTCTTCGAGGAAAAAGTGTTATTACATGGAATATATGACAGCAATACTGTAAATTACATTGGTTTGCGGTTAACTAATTAGTCTATAAGATTAAGTTTAATGAAATATAAATAATTAATAAAAATAGAATAATATTCAATAGTTAATTGTTTGGAATTTCTTCAAATAAGTGATTATTTATAGTATTACATATTTTTATTGATTTTTAACATTAATATTACTTTCTAAAATATTTTGTGATTTTCGCAAAGTATCGAAAGGTTTGGTGTGATTTTTGGTAAAAAACGAAGAGGGAATCCGTCTTCTATTTCACAATATTCTCTATTTATAGAAGTCAAACCTCATTTTTTTTTTCTCTTGGGAGGGAAGTATTACATTATTTCAAAAAGACTTACTTTATATGAATTCCCAAATGGGGCCCTAGGGTACAGAGGACTTTGAAGATTATTTCCCTTTGATCTTGCTTGAGTCGCGCCAACCTCATTTATCGGGTGTGAGTTTGATGAAACAGTAATTCAATGGGCATTTTGTTGATCGGCTTTGCTCACGGAATATGAAACCCATGATTAGGCGTGTTTCCACCTAAGGCAGAGGTTCAGTTAGCCGGTACTCCTGTCACAGGGGCTTCAAGGATCGTCACTCATAATTTATTTGGTCTTAGAGGGATGGGGGTGCCTGATTCAACTTTGGCGACAAAAACTATAATACGATCTTCGTGACCAGGTCATTTCTTTCTTTTAATGCTTCGATCAGATTTTTGTGAGGCGTTCTTTTTGCAACACATGTTTAGTCCCCTGATTTTTTTTTGTTCCTTCAATTTTAGAAGTTATCAGAAGAATAAGAGAATTAAAAATAAAATTTAGACTTACATTTACATTTAACTGAAGCACGCCATTTAATCACAAATTATTCAAAGAGTCAACTCAGTTAGCTATAGATAGATATAGGACGCTAGATTGTTTCTCATATGAGAACTTACTACGTTATCTTGTATTTTTTTGCAACTCTTGGATTGCTTATGAGATAGGTTATTACGGGCACATGCATGGAGACAAGAAGCTCAGTGCTAATTGAGGTAGGCATTGCACTTGCTATTCTGTCTTAAACTATTGTTAAAGGTTCACCGTAAAGAGTAGGTCATTCAGTGTTGCATGTTGACCTCATTTATGGTTAACTCCTTCCCTCGACTTTTATATCCAACCTCATATGGACATTGGAGTGTCCTTAGATGACTGAATTGAATTTAGATAAGCTATAACATGAACCCCATTTAATTAAAACTTGAGCCAACCCTTTTATATCCAACCTCATATGGACATTGGAGTGTCCGTAGATGACTGAATTGAACTTAGATAAACTATAACATGAACCCCATTTGAATTAAAACTTGAGCCAACCTTAATTTAAACTAAAACTAAAATCTACATGATCAAAATTAAAAATTAACTAGAATATAATGAAAACAAATACCAACTTTAACTAAACTTTAAAATTGAACTAAAAATTAACTTAAACTAAAATGTAGATTAGAATTATCATTTTCTATCACTAGGGCCTTCTCAGGTCATTTCCTGGTTGCTTTCGATGCGAGAAATTCCTTGAGCTTAATCATTCAATAGCCAAAAG